TTAAACGCTAGAATTTGTTCTCGGCGGCTCTCATGACTGTGCAACGGTGTTTATTTGCCAACTTTAAGACGTGCATGGCTTTTCGTCAAACCTGCGGATGATTGTACTCGAGGTGCTCGTAAATGTTGTGGCGTTTGAGCGAGAGCCGTTATAAGTGGTTTCCTCCCAACGCAAGCACTCTGTATTCACTCAGCAGACACTAATGGCCCTCTGATAGAGATCATCTTTATTCATGGGTTTTGAGGCATTACTGGTGGAAACATGGTTAAAAAGCACAAGCTGGGGTGATAGAGTGTTTGGCATCTTTAAAAATGCTCCTTTGTTTCCCCCTCTCTCTTTCTCTCAGATGTATCAGGACTCCATGGAGTGGCCCATGGTGCTCAGGGTGAACGTGGAGGTTTGAGTTCTGTGCTGAGGGATTTGGTAAAACCTGGAGATGAGAATTTGCGTGAGATGAACAAAAAGCTGCAGAACATGCTGGAAGAGCAACTGACAAAGAACATGCACCTACAGAAGGTAAATAGAGGGACGGCCAGCCCTTTGGGATGGGAAAAACAAACTTTTATGATCAAGGTCCATTTAGGTTGGCTATAAAACCTTCTTTTGAAGGGCTATTATTAGGCCCACATGGAATCAAGAAAGCTCAGTAGATATCAGCAGAATATGAACATCACAACAAAATGAACAATATTCTGCTCCTTTTGGTTTTCCTCATGATTGCAGTGCTTCCAAGCCAGCACTGTATTGTAATTTATCTCTTTATTTTTTTTATCCTCTGCAATTAAGTCAACCCGAACAACTTAAAATACAGCTTTTGTTTTATTGTTTATTTTAATTATTTTGATACATTTTCTTATTTTATTTTATATTTTTGTTTTGTATATATCGTATTTCTTTTGAAATTTACGGCTAAAGCTTAATACCTGTAGTGTTGTCCCTACTTGGTATTTATAATTATGGTTATCTACTATTTTCAAATGCAAATGCAAATTTGAATATTTGGCTCTAACAGAACCATGTACACATTTTATCTTGTTTAAATGAATTCTACTAATTCTACAAATCACTGTGGGAACAGCAAAAAAATAGAGCAGATTTCAAGTGGGTCTTATTAGGAATAGCCAAGTTTCTTAGCATAGCATTGATTAAAAAAAAAGTGAAACATGCATTTGAAGCTTCATTGGATGTAAAGATCTGATCCGTGTTGAGCAATGAGCAACTCATTCAGTTGAATTGAGGTGAACTGACCATGAGATTTCCACCTGCTAGAGAAGGTGGCTGCAGTCCCTCTGGCAGTGTGATTAGGTGTGTGTGTGTGTGTAAATGGCTTCCTCTCATGCGGTCTTGAGACTCCACTGAGAGGTCTTATTCATCAGGAACCAGAGGGTGGGTGTGTTGTTAATGCTAAAATGTTTCTAGGAGCAGGAATAGAAAGTGCATGTCAGGCAGCCTGCAGGGTGATGCGTTTGATGGGATTACACCATCACACAGATTGACTAATGACAATTAACCTCTCACACCCCTCTTGATATTTCCAGAGCCGCACATCGTTAATGGGAGGTTTGTTCCTGTAGTGAAGCCATGTGTTGCTGTTGTTTTAATTGGATAAAAAAAAAAAAAAAGAGCTATAATATTATAGCTTATAATTTATACCAATGATGCAAAGCTGAATGTTCAGCATTATTACTCCAGTCTTCAGTGTCACATGATCTTTTAGCTGATTTGCTGCTCAAGAAACACTTTTTTTTATATATCAGTTGAAAACTGTTGTGCTGCTTAATATTTTTGTGGAAACCGTGATAGATTTTTTTCAGGATTCTTTGATTAATAAAACGTTCATAAAAACGAAATCTTTTGTAACATTATAAATGTCTTCTCTGTACGGCATCACTAAAAAATATTAAGCAGAACAACTGTTTTCAAGCATATAAGAATGATTTCTGAGGGATGATGTGACTGAAGACTGGAGTAATGACGCTGCTGTAAATTCAGCTACGCAATCAAAGGAATGGATTATTTAAATAAAAAGCAGTTAAAATATATCTGTACCTTGAATGCGTCTGTAGCTTTAATGCATTAATGTAGCATGGCTTTGGATAAAAGAATCTGCTAAAATACATGTGTAGTATATATAACAATATGCTTATTTTAGCTGTAAATTCAACCCAAAAATGTCTAGATTACATAACCATTTGGTAATGGCTATTTTTTGTATAATCCAGTGATTTGAATACTTCAAAGATGAAAGCTACTTAATTTTATTTGATTATATTCTCTGTTTACGTAGAACTGGATGGATGCAAACCAGAAGACTATTCATGTAAAATAAATAATTTGGGCATGAGTGTAAAAACAGTGGCTTCATGTTATACAAGTCTTGAGTTAAAAACAAAAGACTCTCAACAGTAATACATTATAAATTTGATTGGATAGAGACGTTATATGCATACCTGCAACTTCACATCTGTTACATTCTTTATGAATGCACCAATATGTGATGCTTGGTACTCTGTTTTGTGAATGTGATTAAAATCCTTACTGAGCCGATGTGAGACCTGGAGACAGTCTGGATGTGTGTGTTGGTGCCCAGGGGGAGTTGTAGGTTACAAAAACACCCTGCCATAACCTTGGCAGAGACAAATGATGCAAACTAAGACCAAGATGGAGTGATGATCCCTCTGCAAAGCTTGTCCATAACTAAAACAGGAAGGTTTACTTTGTAGGATACTTTCTAAATCAATTTGCAAACATCTTGAGAAGTATATGAAGGGTCAAGCCTGGTCAAGTTTAGTACTATAGTTATATTACCAATGTGATACTTATAGTTCCAACTTTAAAATGGGTAAGCCACTTTTGTTATTATCATTACTAAATGTAATTATTTAGTAGTGGTACTTCATAGATAAAAGCCTTAACTTCATTATATATCATAAATTATTTTTTAGTCGTCTTCATCCTTTGGATTACATGCACATATGCGTCGAGCTCGTTAACAGCGATTAAGCGTAGACGTTAACCTCTTCCTGCAGACGAGATGAGGAAAATCTGGAGCTGCTTAAAAGCTGATGAGCTCAATCTACAGCAGTTCAAGACATGGTCACAAACTTCCTGTTTTTCTCTCTGTCGCTGATGGTGCTCATCACTCCATCAAAACCCTTGTAAAGTGTATTTTCAGTTTATAAGACACTATGACACTGATGCCACTTTAGAATATATGTCCCCTGTTAGTTATAAAAGGCTAAATCACATGATGTCTGTCACATTTCACCCCAAATTAAAAAGTACAATATATATATATATATATATATATTAATAAAGAAAATTAATATTTTTTTAAACATTCAATTTATTTTGTAATATAACATTCTCACCACAATTATATTGCATCTGGACTTTTTTTTCCATATATACTTTATATATAATATATGCCATCAATGGAGAAGCCATAACTACAGACTAAAATGTCCACTGTCTACGGTTGTGGACTTGCGACATCTCTCTCTAATCCGGCGAGCAACTACCTCATGCATATTTACTGGCAGTTGCGGCCGTCATGCCAGAAACAAACAGCCCACTTAATATTTGATGGCTTTTTTGCTTTAGAGTGAGCACACGGTGCATGCAACGCTGCCTCTGCTGTTGCGTGAGTGTGTGTTTGTGAGAGAATCATAGTATAATACCATGTGAGATTGAAGCTGAACTCAGGCCTGACAATGGCTAATGGGTCCTTCATGGCTTTTTTCGTTTTAAAATCCACATTTTCAGAGGGATATTATGGGTTGGGTGCAAGCTAATGTGTAAAGCCTAGCAGGAGGGCGCCACCGCAAATAAACATTAACAGTATGCAACCACTGCACATGTTTAATACTGAAACTGTGATCTTTATCAGAATCACGTTTAAACACTCTGTTTGTTTTGCAGGATCTGGAAGTTTTGTCTCAGGAGATTGTGCGTTTGAGTACAGACGCCTCCCCTGCGGAAAACTCCAAAGCCACGGGCTAAAACTGGACATGATCCATCCGATGATTCAGTACCCTTCTCTTTCTCCTTCTCTCATCTCTTCACGGCTACCAGGAGGAAACTACATCCATCTCTTACAAAGTCCTCCAACAATCTCCTCAGACGTACTAGGAGCACAGAGGGTTGAAACAGATCAAGTCTATCTGTGATTTACATACTACTGAATGTAACGTAACACTTTATATGTTGTTTCTCTGTGACTGAAAAGAACTGGTGGATAATTGGCCGTCAAGCAAACCCTGGCTGCTTGATATCTGTGAACTGTGTGCTCGGGACAGTGGCATGGCCTCGGTGGTCCAAGCAGGACCGCTCTACCTACCACTAATTCCCCCGTTCAGGAAAGCGTGTGTCCGATGTTGGCGTCCTCAAACTGTTATCACTGTTGTGTTGCCTGTTTTGTATATTTGATTTCTCTAAAGACACTTATTTTGTGCGTGAATGTGTGTGTATATGGGGAGTAGAACGGATCTTTTCATCTAAATTGTATTTATTTGTGCCAGAAAATCCAAATATCATCATGTCTACATTTTATGGTATGCTGCTCCTTTCTGAAAGGTTCACTATATCAAAAAACCCAGAACGTTTTCCGGCGAGAATGAGATGGAGAGCGTGGGCTTAATTGCTGCGATAATTATCTGAGCATTTTTTTGTGGGGCTCTCAAAACGTTCCCGTGAAGGAAAGCGGCTCCCTGGACGACTCTAGTTAAGCAGCAATCTCTCCGCAGCTTAACGACTCAATTTGACACCTCTCTGTCTGTCTCAGAACTGATGGTGCTGCTGGGGAACGGACCAATTTCTCATAGTGCGCACTTGACTCCTGCTCGACTCCCATGAGAAGCTAGCCGCCTGTTTTAGTGTAACAACAGTTCCGCCCGTGTGTGTCGATGCCCCTGTTGCGACATGATTTCGCTTTTATGCATTCCGCTTTTCGGGAACATTTTAAATTCTGACACATGCAGAAGTTTTTTATTTGGATATGATATTTTGCTGTCAGTCCTCAGGCTCAATTCGTATTTTTACTGCTTGCACTGATTTTTCCAAACGTAACCAGCTTACTACAGCTCTTATAAGGATATGCCATAATTAATGTAACCAAAAAATTAAAACGCATCATTGAGTTGATCAAATATCAGCCTGGTTTTCATTCATGTCAAATTAAATATGGCATCTACTCCACCTAAGGTCCATTCATCATTTTAGATAGAATGAATATTGACCAAACAACTATGAGATTATTATTTTAGTTCGTTCTGATCGCACAACAGAACATAGTAGATTGAACGTTTTAGTCACATGAGATTATGGATTCTGCATCTACCTTATTCATCAGCGGTCCTGTATTAATTTAGAGATATACGTATGTATTTACCTGGCAAAATTATGTTTTATTTTTTATGAGATGTGAAGGATTACCATTCTATTTCAAGCCTTTGCATTGCTTTAAGCTTTATCGCGACAACGGTTCGTTTCCATGTTCTTGGCACATGAGTGACGTTTGTGCATGGTGTGTTAAATGCCTGTTAAATCCCTCTCTCTGACTTCTAAAGGTAATCCTGACGGAATGCTTTTCCATATTGCATCCATTTTACCATGCAGAAGTAGAAAAACGATATTCTTCATTACTGCCATTGAGGAAACTGACATACCAAAATTCACTTGGACCATTGTGCTCAAAAGAATGAAGGATGTTTGCCTTTAAAGCTCAGAGTCGTTTCAGTTTTTGCCTTTTTAAACTTCTTATCTAATATCTGCTAAACATGCGCTTCTTTAATTAAGATCATCGGTTAATCATCACTAATTAAATGCAAGCAGATTCTATTATTGATGTCCATTCTTCCACTACGTCTCTATGGCTAATATTTATTTATATGCATTTCATTGTCATGTTCAGACTTCCATAACTTGCAGTGATAATAAAGAATGGCTGGGAAAAAAAACGGTGTCTGAGTGTCAAACTTCATATGGTTGGTTCAAAATGTATATTTTATTCATTTGACAGATGCTTTTAATTGTATAATTCTTTTTTTTTTTTTTTTATCAGCACAGGTGTTCCCTGGGAGTCAAATCAATGACCTTGGCGTTGCTAGTGTCATGCTACCAGTTGAGCTAGAGGAACCACAAATCATACATCACAAAGGTTTTTTTTTCTTTCTTGATATTTAACTTAAGAAAAAAGTGCATTACATTTAGTTAATAGTTTAAAATTCTGTCATTTACACTCATGTTGTTCCAGACCTGTATGACTGACTTTCTTCTGTGGAACACAAAAGAAAATATATTAAAAGGATTCATGCATTAACCATCATCAGGGGCAAAAACAACATTGGACCCCATTGACTCCTTGAATGGACAATGAAAAAAGGACATTTAAAACGAAAAGAAAAAAAGAAAGTCGTGCAATTTTGGAATAATAAAGGCTGGTTCCTCCCCAGGTCAGTGGACTAAACACACAAGCCCGCCCCCATTTTACTCTGAGTGTTTGTCTAATACACTCGTTAATCTCTCCTCTGAGCACATGCAGTGTTTACCGCACTATCAATGATGCCTGTAAGAACTGTGCAAACAAATGACATGAATCATTGAGCAGCATTTAAGTGGAGCCGTTCAAATACTTCAGTCATCTTGGTCTTTGTTACTGTTCAGTGAGTGTGATCTCTAATCAACACTATATGCTGAAGGGCTCCACTGCTTTGCATTGGGTTTCATCCTTATAATGAACAACGTCCACCATTGAATAGACCATTTTGATCTTTTTGAAAAGACTTGAAAGGTTTTAAAATTTGATTTCAGTTTATGATATTCTCACATTTATGGAGGTGGGGGTCACACCATTGCCACACCTGCCAATGGTGAGTGAATTGAGAATTTACTGGTCATAAATATTTTATTACCAGTCATGAAACTTTATTTTATGAAGCTTGTTTCTGCATCAGAGTAAAAAAAGTTTTTTTTAACCTAATTTTGTTTCTCATAATAGTGGCTTTACTGTATTTTACAAAATGTGACTTTAATCTCAAAATAATCTTTGTAAACAGTCTTCATTTGTATTTTGCATTATTGATTATAAAACATATTCCTTATTAAAATACAGAAAAAAATCTGAAGTTTTTCATGTGTATTTATAATATCTTTTTTAAAAGTAAAAAAAATTTGTTGAAAAAATAGGTAATTTAACATTTCAGTCAGACCAGCATTTTTCTGGTGCAAAAAACAATGAGAATCTCAATGACAGCAATAAACTACATTTGAACAGATGAATTTAGACTAACCACCAATTAAAGATACCATGTTAATAACTGGCTTAAAACATATTCATTTATCATTTTGTATGTGGCTACAAAACAAAAGATGCTATACCGCTACAGTATATATATAATTTGTGCAGGAGCTTCAGTGAATCTGTGGTGAAATTGGTTAATTTTAAATAAATCGCCTCACATCAGGTGGTTCTTTTGCTTCCATGTTGTGCATTAAAGTCAACTAATGCACATCTAGCCTTGGATTATCCCTTACGAAATCAATTTAAATACGGTATGCCGCTCCCTCTGCCAAAAACAGTAATCTTGAACTCAATTATGAAGTGCTTTTTTTTATTTAATGGCACAAAAAGCGATGGAAGTCTTCCAGGTCAATGAAACTCACACTTATGTTTGACACTCACGGGTTCTAAACTGAGCATTAGTGGACTGACTGATATCCAATCAATACCTAATAAAGAAGGGAATCATTCAGGACAGAAAAATAGTAGAATAAAATCAGCAGGATTGAATCATTTCAGCATGCGCTTCGTGGTCACTCATTAATTTTACAAGTTGCTGATTTAATGTAGCCAAGGGGCTCTTCAGCATCTTAAGTGAAATGATTAAAGCATCGATTCGTAGTCAACATGCCTACGCTACACCTCAGGACATTACACTACGTCATGGTTAAAGCTCTCCTGTGAGGTCCAACTTCTTGTATTTCGACATTTTGACTGGTTTATCACTACAGGTGACTGGCACTCCTTTCACATAATTGTCTTTGCCTCTGGTTATTGTTTGGGAGTATACACAGTAGGGTCGTCTGGCCCTAATTTTGAAGCCTTAGAAATATCGAAATCACTGTTGTAACTCTGCTGTCTGCCTTTGTGTCTTTTGCTGCAGTAATTTAGCCATGAACCCTTGTATTGACGTCGGAGTTGTAGAAATTGAATGCAGTTGATGGAAAGGGTAGGAGAATTACTCCTAAGGGTGTTGGAGAAAACATCCATTCTGAAATGATGCTCCCACGATGCCTTTGGTAAGTGGTTTTCCAACAGTCACCAAAACACTGATTACTCACTACTTTAAGTCAACATGTGCTTTGATTCACAATTGCCTCTGTTTACTTTCCTAAAAAGTGTTCCTTATCTTGCCAGATAATATTCAAAAGAATTTCAGGGCAACAATATGCAAGTGCTGTGACTAGTCCCAGTTAGTCTAGCACAGTACATGTAGCAAGTTTTTTTTTGTATTTTTATAAATAGATGTAGAATAGTGAGTGTTAGTTTAAATGGGTCAAGTGTTGACGGAAAAGATGCGTTATCAGCAGTTTCTTGAAAATGGCTAAAGACTCAGCAGCTCGGGTTAAGTTAGACAGGTGTTTCCACCAGCTTGAAACAGTCAAGGTAAAAGTTCATGAAAGTTATTTTGTACCTCTTTGAGATGGCACCACAAGGCACCATTCACTTGCAGAACGCAAGCTTCCGGAGGGCACGTAGGTCTGAAGTAATGAGTTTTGGTATGGGGTGCAGAGCCAGAGGTTGTTCTGTAGGCAAACATCCATGCCTTGAATTGCATGCAATTGGCAACCAGTGCAATTTGAGGAGAGGTGTGAAATGTGAAAAGACTACTCTTGCTGTAGCTTTCTGGATTTGTTGAAAAGGTTTGGCAGTGCATGCTGGAAGGGCTGCCAAGAGAGCTTTACAATAGTCCAGTCTGGATAGAACAAACCTTGGATAAGGAGTTATTTAGCATGCTCCGATAGGAAGGACCTGATCTTCCTAATGTTGTATAAGGCACATCTGCAGGACTGGGCAGTTCTAGCAATGTGGTCTGTGAAGTTCAACTGATCATCAATCACAACTATCCTGGATGGAGTTATGGTTAACGAACCTAGCTGAATGGAGAAGTTGTGATGAAGTGTTGGGTTGGTTGAGACCACAAGCGGTTCTGTCTTTGCAAGGTTGAGTTGAAGGTGATGTTCCTACATCCAGCAAGAAATGTCTGTCAGGCAAGCCGAGATGCGAGCAGAGTGAGAGGTAGAGTTGTGTGTCATCAGCATAGCAGTGATAGGAAAAACCATGTTTCTGAATGACAGATCCTAGTGATGACATGTAGATGGAGAAGAGAAGTGGTCCAAGCACTGATCCCTGAGGCACCCGTTTAGTTATGGAACTAAAATGGTTTGTGAATGCCATTTCATGTTTTCAGTTTGAGTGTCATGGGTTGATTTGGGTAACTGACATGATCTTTTAAAGATTGGGTCTGTCCTAACACCCACATTTGCAGTCTTGGCCTGTTTAGATCATGTGCATGTGACAGGAAGTAAGTTCTCAAGACTGCACAAGAAAAATGCCAAAGCTTTGCAACCTTAGCACACTAAATCCTAAATCCACTAAAATCTTTAATGTGGTTTCAGAGTGGGATTTGACACTAAGCATATCCCATCATTCATCATTTGTTTAGAAACTTGTGTGTGAATGCTTTGGCCAAATACCGGAAATACATCATGTAAGTAGACAAGTGATTTGAGATCAAAGACTGCAAATGTGAGTATTATGACAGACCTGATCACTCCTACATGTTTTGTTTACTCAGTTCTTATGTCTTCCTAAAAAAAAGTATGCATGAGCCACTCTGCTGCCCCCATCAGCTCTGGAGCACCCATGTGGTCAGGAGACGTTACTGCATGCTGACTTGAGTTGATGTTCTTTGGAAAATGTTGGTTTGAGGTAAGTTTTTAATAAAAAGACCGTTGGTCATGTAATTTCAACATTTCGCCGTATGCATAAAATGTTTTCTAGGCCACTGTTATAATTAAGAAAGAATCCAAGTGGCCTTTTATTGTGGCCAGCCTAAGGCACACCTGTGCAATAATCATGCTGTCTAATCAGCATCTTGATATGCCACACCTGTGAGGTGGATGGATTATCTCGGCAAAGAAGAAATGCTCACTAACACAGATTTAGACAGATTTGTGAACAATAGTTGAGAGAAATTGGCCTTTTGTGTACATAGAAAAAGACTTAGATCTTTGAGTTCAGCTCATGAAAGAATGGGGGCAAAAACAAAAGTGTTGTGTTTATAATTTTGTTCAGTGTAATTAGGTTAGAATCTTGTTCTACATCACGCTGTTTGTATACTTTACCTTAATTAGTTATTCACATGGTATACATCTAGCATGCTTCATTACCCTGGATATGCCATGCTAGTGGACTTTCAAAAGTGAAAAGCATTGGTTAACCCTGGCTTGAAAATGTATGTTTTTAAGCCTGGGTTAATAGTTGTAAACCCAGTTGTAAACCCAGAGTTAAGCTGTTTCAAGCATTCAAACTGAAAAGGACAAATTTGAAATGAAGCTATCAGCAATCTTTTGCTTCGCTCTCAAGTTTTTGTTTCTATATTTGCGTTTGAGGATATTGATCAGAGCATTCAATAGGTCCAGAAAGACTTGTACTGTTCTTCAGTGTTCCCAAAATATTTTGCCAGCACATTTCCATAGTTAGAAAGCAAACAGATCTCATTGCCTCCGTCCTCTGGAAAGGTTCTAGGTGTTGAATCGCTCTGATGTATTTAAAACCCTTATGATATGACCCTGGATTGTGACCCTGCACTGGGACGTTTTGATGTTCTTGACAGATACACAAAGAAAAAATGTGCTCTGACTGAAGTAGGACAGACCATTAAAGATTAACACGAGGTGAGGTGCATGAAATATTGAATATGAGCACCACAAAGGGGCTAGTTAAATGAGTTGCGTAAATATTGTGAAACGCTGTGGACCTGTTATGCCCGTGTTCTGACGATTTGCACCAGCTCAGATTAAGCACCTCCTTTCATTAACCATTGTTTGAAAAATATATATTTTTAAGAGTTTCACTAGTTTGTGCCCTTTTTGTGGAAAGTGCCGTGGTCCATTTTTTTTGTAAATAAAACACAACATCCTTTATTAGAGTATCCGTCCAGCATACTGTTTTCTGTTTTTTTTTTTCACGCTGTTATAGGACGCATCTGTTTTCCCCAATGTTCAAAAGACACTTTGTGGACTTTGCCTAAAAGACATAGTTGTGAATATGAAGTAAGCGTAATGAGTGTGTTCTGTTAATGAAAAATGGACTTTTATAAAGATAAGCTCTCACGTTCTTTTTTGAATGTGTTTTTTTTTCTTTCTTTCCTTTTTTTTCACCACTGGGAATAAAAGTGTCTTAAGGTGAACTCAAGTTTCAGTTCAGCTGGTGAAAGAAATCGACAAATTCAGATGTTAAGGCTAATTGAACTGACACTCCAACAACCTTTGAAATCTGTTTTTAATTAAAGGCGGCATGATGAGGTGCCTGGTGTTAAACTTTCATAATTACACAGCTGCAGACACAGTCTCTGTGTAAGATTTAGATAGTGGCCTTCAATGTACGATCAACTAACTATATCTCATTTCTATTTCAGCCCAGTCCTTCTCTGCTGCTTCAGTTATTGAAAGCTTGTGAGTAATTCTTGATATTTTATATGATATGCTCTTTATACTCTTGGCAAGAATGTTTTACACATTTGTAGCATTTTATTTTTTATAATGTCTATCTATCTATCTATCTATCTATCTATCTATCTATCTATCTATCTATCTATCTATCTATCTATCTATCTATCTATCTATCTATCTGTCTATCTGTCTATCTGTCTATCTGTCTATCTGTCTGTCTGTCTGTCTGTCTGTCTGTCTGTCTGTCTGTCTGTCTGTCTAAAAATTAAATATTGTCAATTTTGATTTCACATTAAAATAAAAAAATAAAAAAATTCTTTTTACAGCACTTCAAGTTAAGCCATTCTAAGAAAATAAAAAGAGTCAAATATTTTTTTTCTATAGGTCTATCATAATGCATGCGGTTAACTTTTAAATTAATCTGGCTGTTTTTTCTACTCTATGTTTATGGCTTATGTTGATAAATGAGCTAAGTTCACACTCTCGTTTTCCAGGGTAGTTTTTGTATCTTGTAAATGTTGATATACATGATATAGCCCTTTTAAAATAACCTCTGACCGTGTACCTTCCTTAAAAAGAGCAGACTGGCATATGAAACTACTGTCTGACCAACATGAGCTTCACAAAAGTCTTTTCATCCATATTTGATGATAAACAGCATCATAGAAACTGTACTGTAGTTCTGGACATTTGGAGATAGTTTCCACAAAGGAAACTCAGAGAATGAATAAAATGGCCTGCAGCGTATGCGATTCCCCTCGTGTCGTGCAGGAGTGATGTGCTTCTTTCATGAGGGGATGGATTGTGCTGCATAAGCTCAAATGTCCCCGACTGTCTCGCCCTCACACATGCTGTGCTTTTCCACTGCCCGTGTGGCCACTCGAGGGTTAATATTTCATGGCCGAAACATTATTTTTAGATTTCTGCTGTCAGAAGGAAATTTCAGCATATTAGCTACATTGATTACCGCTTTGACAGAGTACACATTGTGTCAAAATAAAACTGAAATGCTGATTGGTCAAAAAACATGTTTTGTCTGTGCTATATTGTGAATATAGCCACAGAAAATGCATTTTTTTTCCTTTTTTTTTTCCAATTTAGTCTATTACAATGGGTCAGTGCAACACAATTTTTACTGCTTTTATTGTGTGCAATAAATTTAAACTTGTTAAAAAGTTGGCTTAATCCATTTTCATTAGGACACATTAACATTGTCATGGGAATAACTAAAAGATCCCGGCTAACACTGCCACATTGAAAATGAATGCAACCAATATATATTTTTAATAAATGAATACTTTTTTATTCTTGCATCATCTGTCCATGTGGTTTTATGAGTTTTGGTACTCTAGTAAATTTATTCATTTATTTGTTGTCATTCTGTTCAGTCCTTTTCATTTGCTTTGCATATAGTGGGCCCTATTTGAACAATCTAAGCTCATGGTCTAAGCACACACCGCAAGTGCACTTAGGGCGTGTCCGAATCCACTTTTGCTAGTTTAACCATAGATATCCACAATAAAGGCTAGATATCTCGTCCGCGCTACTGGCCAATGGAGGTGGACGTCCGCACCTGGCGGCCATCTTGTCACAGGCAGCTCGCTCACTCGTAACATTGTGTTTTAATGGTGCATGTACTTTTTAAATAACCATAACTTGCTCAATTCTCGACCGATTTTCAAACGGTTTGGTTTGTTATAAACGTCAGAGATGTAGTTATGACACTGCATACTTATGAATAATAAGTGTATAAATAAATAATCATCCAGAATTATAGCCACGTTAATAACGTTTGTAAGAAACCAAACCGTTTGTAAATCCGTCAAGATTTCAACGAGATAAGAGTATTTGTGTTCGTGCTGATCAGTCATCTTACATCAGCTTGCCTGTGACAAGATGGCCGCCGGTGATGACGATAGAGACTCCGCCGTAAGACATCTAGCCTTTATCATGGATATCTATTAGTTTAACGACGGGAAAAATGGTCGGCGCGCATGGACTAAAAGGGTTGTCCCTATTCTATGAGTAATGGGTGTGTTTTGGGCAGCAATAAACCAATCAGAGTGTCATTTCCCATTCCCTTTAAAGTCAGTTGCGCTCGCGCCATGGCGGATTCGCTATTTACATGGCGGAGGAAATGGATCTGCTCGTGTGCGAAGAAAGCGCGTGAGCAGACCATCTATGGGACAAGCCGGATTCCACCAAATCTTTATGTACACAATAATAATCTTTTGCATTGTAATCCTTTTATTTTTAATTTTTGGCATATTTGCGCATGTGTGTGTGTGTGTGTAATAAGCAGAGTGTATTACTAATGTGCCCTTTAGATAACAAAACGCTCCAAGAATGCGCCTGAACACCTCGTTTTCAGACCAGCACGCCCATGAGCGCACAGATGGACGCAAATGCATTTGCTGTTTAAACAACGTGACGCAGGACGTGAAAATGATCAACACATTCTCATCCTTTGGCGTCATATGACGCCATATGACATTTCGCGGAAATCTTACGCACATGGTATCCTTTAGCGTCAATATAACACGCACTGTAATGGGTAGGTTTAGGTCTGGGGTAGGGTACGGTTATGACGCCTTGGGTTCTGCGTCTCATATTGACGCTAAAGGATGCCATGTGCGTCGGATTTAGACGAAATGTCAAAAGCGTCACCTGTATGACGCCTTGGGTTCTGCGTCTCAAATTGACGCTAAAGGATGCCATGTGCGTAAGATTTCGACGAAATGCCAAAAGCGTCACATGTATGACGCCTTGGGATGAGAACGGGCTGAAATGATAACTGCGTCGGGCTAAAACTAGCAAAAAACACTTGCGTCACGCCGCATTGCGATCGGTTGTATAGGGCCCAAAATGTTAAATAACAAAATTGAAAATCTGTTCAAACTTAGTAGTAGCAGCAGCAGTAGCACTAGTCATGGCTCGACAGCGACTCCACTTCCTAATGATACTCAGAAGGAACCATCTGGAGGAGAAACTGTTGGTGGCCTTTTACCGCAGTACCATTTAAGAGTGTCCTGTCATACGGCATCACGGCTTGGTATGCTAACTGCAAAGTGGCGGACAGAAAGAGCCTGCAGAGGGTCATAAAGTCAGCACAATACATCATTGACAGCCCGCTACCCTCGCTAGAAGACATCGCTAGCACACGGTGTCTCAGAAGTGCTAGGGCAATCACTGCTGACCTCTCACACCCAGGACAGCACCTGTTCAACCTCCTGCCCTCTGGCAGAAGGTACAGGTATGGCCTAAAGAGCAAGACAAACAGACTCAAAAAACGTTTTTTTTTTCCTTGGGCCATTAGGTCACTGAACTCATAAAGAATGTGTGCGCTATGATGTGTAAATGTTTTTATTTTGTTTCTAATGTTTATATATTTATCATATTATATTTATTATGCACTGGTCGCAGATGCACTGTAATTTCATTGTATATCCGATGTGCAATGACAATAAATATTCTTATCTTATCTAGTAATATTTCAAATATTTCCTTTAATTGCATGCTAAAAGTTTTCCTCTCTATTTTTTATTTATTATTTTCTTAGTTTTATTTAGTTTTATTTAAATGAATATTAAAATTATAAAATAAAAAATATATTATTATTGTTATAATTTCCCATCATTATTTTTGCTATATTGTTTGATGATGCTACAGTGACTTAGAAATGAGACACTTCAGCTTTAAAGGGGTAGTTCATCCAAAAATAAGCATTCTGTCATCATTTACTTAATTTTCCTGTTGAACACAAAAGGAAGATATTTTGAAGAATGTTAGTAACCAAACAGTTGCTAGTCCCCATTGACTTCCACAGTGTATATATATAAAACAGACTTTGGGAGTCAATGAGGATCAGCAACTGTTTGCTTACCCACATTCTTATAATATATCATCTTTTTTTGTTCAGCACAAGAAAGAAATTAATACAGGTTTAAAATAATTTGAGGGTTAGTATAAACGATGACAGGATTTTAGTTTTTGGGTGAACTATCCCTTTAAGGCACTGGTCAAAGGTCTTGTCTGATGCCTTCAGCACTTGTTGGCCATGAGCAGATGTGTTATACAACACAAACAGACAATGGACTGATAAAGAAAAATGGAGGCAATCATTCACTTGTCCTCAGCGTATCACAACGAAATATAACTCAATTATTTCTTGTCAACGGATGAGAAATGTTAAACGTGACATCAGAGTGGAACAACTTTCACACTGAATGCGCAAAATCTAAGAGTCCGTGTTGTGCCAGCTAAGATGTGCTGGTGCGTGCATTATGCTGAAATGTGTGGACAGATCTGTCACAAGCTGTTGGTGGAGAATGTGTCACACCAGGACATCCGTATGTGAGAAAATGTCACTTGATTGAACATTTGTACGTGTTTATGACCCCTTCCTCATGATGCTCATCATTCATTATGCATTATATAATGTTATACTTTTTGGTATGATTTTGGACTTTTAATTTCTGGCTTGCCATTGCATTTATGTGGATAAATCAATATATTTGGAATCACTTTATTCATGCCATAGGGGCATGTTGTCACTGGATGTCAATGTGTGTTTAATGAACTGTATCTTTTTCCCAGGACAATGACAGTGGAGGTGTTAATTAGCTCTTGTGTAGCCAAGACTTTAAGGTATAGAAACTGACTGGAATATTCACTGTGATTAGCCTCGGTCTTCCTTACACATTAAGTAAGCACTTGTAGTTAATTAGAATTATTGAGTATCTGCTTATGTAAATACACTGTAACATGAAGACTGTAATGTAAGTTGTGACTTAATATCCTTCACCTAATACTGATCATTTACAGGGCTTGATTTCCTTAAAGCCACAGTTCAGCCTAATTTAAAATTCATGTAATTCCAAACAGGCATCTTATGTTTTCTGTGCAAATATGTATATATATTATACACTACTGTTCAAAATTTTGGGGTCGGTGAGATTTTTTAATTTTTAAAATATTGTATGTAAAATATTGTCTTTTCTATACAGTAGCCCAAATCTTTTGTGTTTGAGTGAAAAAATAACAGCATACATGA